AGGAATTAGCATCAGTCAGAAACCAATGGTGGTATTTTGCCAAAATCCTGAAAGCTATAATTTCTTTTTCCGAGAGTAATATAAGCTGTCATCACATTTCTAGATCTTTCAATCACATGATGTGTAATGTCTATCGAAAAATACATTTCATACTTTTTTATGGCTTTTAATACTTGAATACTTTTAATACTTTTTTTTTTCGACATAATAAAAATGTATAGATCCGCATTTTGTGTGCTAATATTGACATTTTATTAAGTAGTGAAGCTTCTTGGGAAAGTTAACAAATGGAATTTTTTTTAAATGAGTACTAAGTGGCATAGCATCTTACCCAGGAACTAAGTTTCACACACATAGAGAAAACACAGTTACTGATAAAGATTGAAGATTGCAGCCTCCGGTATGGATTGTACCTCCACATCAGACAGAAATCATCACAACTAGACCAGGAAGCAGCGTAATGGGATGTGGAGAAAATGCTGAAATTGTCAAGGATTTGATTTTACTTAGATCCACATTCATCACCTAACAGTCAAGAAATTCAGCAGTGTATTACTCTGGAAAAATCTGCTACAATGACTTCCTTAAAATATTAATAAGCACAATTGTCACCATCAGGAGCGAGGTACCTAAGCCATGGTCTTTTCAGTCACATTGTCATTGTTACCACCGAGTCTCAACTGAGTCCTCACTTGCCCTCCTGAAGATTTTCCAAGGCCGTAAATAGCACAGGCTCGCTCTCATTCTCTCAGTCACCTCAGAGCTATACAGAAGTTGGACAGTACATAAGGACAATTGAAAAATTGATGCCAGTGAATTACAGTGTTTTTAAAGAATATCGACTAGACCGTAGACTTGCCAAAGAACAGACAGACCTATAAGGTGGTCAGTGCCTCCTTCCAACTATCAACCACACAAAATCAAAAGGGTAGAGTTTGTCCAGGGGGGAACCTCAGCAGCCAGCCAGAGATAGGGCTACCTCATACAGTGTCCTGTAAACTGGACAGAAGCAAATCACTGGTCTTTCCTCACTTTGACCCACTTGTGCATTTCCACCCACCTCCTGACCTTTTGTTTCGTAGCCAAATTCTTAACCATTATGCCAACAAGCGCCCTACTGAAGTATACTAGATGCATAGTGAAAATGTGCCAATTGGCAAAACACCACTATCTAAAACTTTCGCTGGTTCTGGTTTTATATAAGTGATACCCTAATAGATGAAAGATAATCACGTTCCATTGATTCTGTCTCATCCAGTATTGAGAGTCTACTGTGTACCATGTGATGGGGAGAAAGTTAAATAGTAGAATATGACTAAGATACGGCGCTACCTTCCAGGGGCTCCAACCCGTGTATTAGAATGTGACTTAGGAGATCAGCTCACTCTTTGGAGGGAAGTAATATTCTCACAGAGGAGCATGCATGTCTGTCTGTGTACTGGTCAGAGACTGAAAACGGACCTGATCTATTGGGAATGGAAGTGACGAGAGATATCGCAAAGGAAAGGTTGACCAGAAAAAAAGATGGTTGACACAAAAAGAATGTGAAAGCTCTTGATAACGAATGAGAAAGAATTTCAAGCTCTTAATAACAGGCAGAGAATGTGTGTGTGTGGGGGGGGGGGGTTTGCTTCCCTTTTTTTGACTGTGAACTGAGTATATACTTTTATCTAGAATTGGATTTTAAATTTTAAGAAATTGTTTACAGTCTTGAATGACGGGGTAAATTAGTTCTTACAAGAATACAAGTTTTCATATGGATATTCTATTGTTAATATATTATTAATAGAATAAGAACTTAAATTAATTCTTCTCTTCAAAGGTTCTTCTTTTCATTGCATTCAATGATAAACAGTTGTAAATTCCTATCTTTATAAGGTACAAATAAATGTATGTTCCTTTCTTGCTTTTTTTTTAGAGCTATTTTCTGTTAATTCTTCTGTGCTGAAGCATGAATGTTTTATAATATGCTGCTGTTAGGACAATTCTAAATTTGTCAAATTCTAAGTTATGTAAAAGACTTAATTATACGTTATGATTCATCTGAACCAGAATTATATGTAAGTGTGCTGTGTTTTGACAACCACAATATGTTTTAAGGAAAAAAGAAAATAAAATCACTTAAAATACGTTCCTCACCACATCTTCAGCAAGCAGAGGGTTTTCTGAAGTGAGATTAGACAATGGAGCCAACTTCATTTTTTATGCACGTGAATGGAGCGGGCTTGAGGTTATTAGTTGAAACCGAGTAACCTTTCCAGGCTTTCATCTCTTTCTTTTCAAATTTGAATATGAAAAGCATATTCAAGTCAAAGACCATCACTTTAATGACATTTGGCAGTCATTTGATTTATTAGGTTTTAGAAAAAAAATTCCTTTAAATATTTCATCATACTATGCTAATCCTAGTAATATTGCCAGCTGCAGCCTTGTACCTGTATTAGTGGAGACAGAATGGTGTGGAATTTTCTTTGCCATCCTAGTAAAATTTCCATGAATCTACTGAATAATAAAATAGCCTTATTGAAATATTCAGATTTGGGTTTTTAGTTAAAGTATCTTGGAATACATAATAAAAGAAAATGTGTTTTGAAAGAAGGGGGTAAAATTACTTCATCAAATATTGAGGGAGGGTGACAGCAGTGGAAATTGTTCTTTATGGATATATTTTTGCAAGAAGATTCTTACGCTTTTCAATTTGATTAATTATATACTTTGAAATATCTAAGTAAGCACTGTTGTGAATTTGCACAAACATTTGTATTTAGCAATGAATTCCTAAAAGCTGGTCGTATAAATAGATTTTATTTTCAGGTTTGTCTGATTTCTACTTAAGGATGCATAAGTTACAGTAGTCTGCATCTGAATTTGGTAAAGAGGAATTTTGACAATAACTTTAAAATTATAACCAAAAATAACAGATGTTTTTGTGCAACCCAATTTTTAAATCATTCTGTTAATTATTTGACATCAGAATTCAAAGAAACATTTGTGAAACTACAACAATACTGGTGACACTAAAATCTACTAAACAAGTACTAGACCAAAAATGAAATAGTCATACTATATATCAGTTTTAGTTGCTAATTATATGAAAATGAAACAGAAAATAAATGAGGAAAATCCGTAAGTGTTAAATTAGATATATAACTGTGTTTCTCTTATGTTTGAAAACATAATACATATTGAATGAAATATGGTAGCTATATGAGAGACAGAACTGCAGTTTCTGCTCTGGTTAGTGTGGATTTACATAGCTATATGTATTAGCATAATCACTAGAAAGTGTTCAACAGGCGTTAGCTTCTGAAAACCCAAAACTTTCTCAGGTATCCTAGATTAAATAAAAACACTGATAAACATGTACTTCCTTACATAGTTTGAAACATAGCCAACTGATACTTGTCATTTTGAAAGCACTTAGAGATGAAGATCTCATAATCTCCCCTCCTGATAGACTACTAGTGAGGTATTTATAGCCTCAAATGTAAATCAGGAGACGATTGCCATGACACTGTTAACTTCAAACCCTGGGGCATTAGAATCTCATTCTCTCCTCTCTGTCATGAATAATCTATCATGCGTAACTATACAGTCATGTGCAATCCTTTCCCAAAAAGAGACCAGTTGGCCTTCATTCTTTATTTTAAATTGGGCCTAATAGAGAGTAAAATATTTGGGTTTGGTTTTCTGTTTGCTTATTTGTTTTTTGGGGTTTCTAATTTTTGTTGGTTGTTCTTTTCCTTAAACAGCCATTAGAAAAAATTCGAATTGAGATCATAGCTCTAACCCTTCACGAATCTCGAGTAACCAAAGATGATAGCATTCAGCGACTCTTTGTTGAGTGCCGATTCTACAATCTTCCTGCTGAAGAGACGCCTATATCGCTTCCAAAACCCAAGAGTGGGCAATGGGTCTACTACAATTATAGCAATGGTACGTATAATTCATTTGTAACAGGAACTTCCCCCCCCGCTTTTTTAATCTATCTATATATGCTGTTGCTATTATATACCATCGACTTAGAACTAACTCATAGGTAACCCTCCAGCTGGTTTTCAGAGGCAGTAAATCACACAGGAGGAGATTGCCCCTCTTTCTCCTCTGGAGTAGCTACAGGATTCAAACCACACTTTTTCAGGTTAGCAGCATCACTCTGTTCCGCTAGCAACCAGAATGTCCCTTTTTCTATATAGAAGGCTGAAAGAACCAGGAAAATGTTCAGTTCTTCAGTGTTCACAAAACCCTAAACCTCCCCAGAACAGACTTGATAAAAATCAAACCTGTAGCCGGAGCTCCAGTGAAGTAGTGGCAAGAAGCTGCACTGCAATCCCAGAGGTATGCGGTTTGAATCCACTAGATGCTCTGCTGGAGAAGAAGGGGCAATCTCCTCCTGAACCAGTCAGATCCAATTTGATGATAGAGGCACACACACACACACACACACAAATTTAAAAAATAAATTTTAATTTAAAAAGAAACAAACCTGTAGCATAGGATCTGCTAAATGAATTTAAAGTACTACTAACTTAAGAGAAAATAAGAACAGTGGGAAAACAAGGTTTTCACCTGCCCCCATTTTATAATGTTATCTGTATAAAATACCATCTAATCTATAATTGAAATAGTAGAAAAATATATTTGAAGAAAAAAGTACTAGAGGTCTGGTGGGGTTGAGTGGTGGTATTTTATTATTATTATTATCATTATCATTATTCAGATCTATGTCTATCTTTCTATCTTTCTGATCTATGTCTTTTTAAAAGTCTTATTTTTATATATATCTTATAATATCTTATAATATCTCATATTGTCTGAACTCTTTGTGATTCTAGCTCTGAATTCTAGGTGCTCACAATGCCTTCTCATCATTTAGCCCACTATTCTACAGCAGACAAGTTTTCTCTCTTAGCTAACAGCCCACTGGTTAAGTCTACTTGACCAATAGAGACCCAGGAGACAACTTGTAAATCAACTTAAAAGGTGTTTTTAAGAATAATATGCGATACTATATGGTTAGAGAAAAAATATCTTTAAATCATATTGAACTCTCATAGTCTTAAGTTAAACTATTTATTAAACTCTCTTAAATCAGTCTGGAGACTAAGGTGTGCCTGATCCAGGCCATAGTCTTCACAATTGCTTGCCATGTGTCAGAGAGCTGGACAATGACTAAGGATGATAAAAAGATAATTGATGCCTTTGAGCTGTAGTTCTGGAGAAGAGTGTTGAATATACCATGGACTGCTAGGAGAACAAACAGGTTCATCCTAGAGAAGATAAAGCCAGGCTGCTCTTTAAAGACAAGGGTTCTGAGGCTTCGTCTGACATACTTTGGGCATGTTGCAAGGAGGGACCAGTGCTTGGAGAGGGACATCATGTTTGGAAGGATGGCATGACAGAGAGAGAAAGACCATCAATCAGATGGATTGATTCAGTGACTGGGGTAATAAGGGTCGGTGTGTCAGAGACAGTAAAGTTGACACAGGATAGAGCAGGTTTCAGGGCTACTGTACATATGGTCACTATAAGTTGCAAGCAACTCAACAACACATAACAACAAATCTTTATACTAAAGTAAGCCCGAAAGATGAAGTATGTGTTATCTTTAATAAAGCAGGTCTGCTCATACTATTTGGACACTAGTATTATTTTCTCACTAATCTTATAGATTGTATTATAATCAGCATGGATGTTTGTTACTCACACTGCAATCTTGGATATGCAGACATCTAGCCAGCCTACTTTTCTCTCTTTATTCCTAGTTATGTAAACTTTGGAACATTTCATTGTCCCTATGTTTCTAATCTGTAAGTGAAGTGCCTCCTAAGAACTCTTCCAACTTACGTTCTGTAATTCTGAAGTAACTCAAGTTGGTAGAGAAATCACATGGGGAAATCAATCCTGTGGAGCAGACAACAATGTGATGCTTCCTTCCTTTGATACACTTAACAGACACATTCACAAAGCTATTTTCTTAAGCAAAACATATAAAAATATTATTGATAATGAAAGAACTGTTTATTTTAATGAAGAACTCCTAAGAGACAGAAATGCATAGGGTGGTTTGTGGTTTGGTTTTTTTTTTATTTTTCATAAGAGTCGACTAAAATATTTGATTGAACTGGCAACAAAAGTGTTTTTGATTTTTCAGAAATTGATTGTTGGCCATGTAGCAGAACAGATGTTTTCATGTGCATAAAGAAACTCCTTTAAACTCAAACCTGAGCTGTAGGCTTAAGTGATGCTTACAGTGAGGTTTGTTTGAGGGCTCATGTTGGTTGGCTGGCTGGCTGGTTGGTTGGTTGGGTTTCTTCTCCTTTATTGCAAATAACATCCTAGCTGGCATTTTCAAACTGTATACATTTCTAGTGCTTTAGCCATTTGATAGCAAGAAACCCAGTCATCTCTGAAAAGTTAATTTGGTAGAAGTGTTTACTATAGCTTTCTTTCCGCTGCTCTTAATTACACCCAAGGAAAATTGACTGTGTGAGATTTTCAGAGTTAACTAAAAAGAATTGAGGAGAGAAGGAAGGAAGGAAGGATGAACTTTATGCTTAGAAGCAGTGTTGCTGTTTTATATCTAAAATCTGAAAAGTATTGGCATCCTAGATCCTCAACAAATTTGAAAAATGTGAACATTGTGGAAAGCCTTTCCTCTTTATTTTTTACTTTAAGTATAAAACCCAAAACCAAACCTGCTGCCATTGACTTTAACTCCTAGCATCCCTAGAGGACAGGGTAGAATTGTCCCATAGAGTTGCCAAGACCTGCAGTCTCATGGAAGCAGATTGCCATCCATGGTTTTCTCCTGAGGAGAGCCTGGAGGGTCGGTATACCAACCTTTTGGTTAGAAGTCAAGAACTTTACCACTGCACCACCAGCACTCCTCCTTAAAGTGTGACATAAGTGTTTATTTTTAAATTATTTACATGTCTCTCATTACAGGTGTAATCTTGAATCTTTAATGAATAACTGTCTTAGCTAATTATTGTCATGATGTGCTGTTCACTTGTTACTTGATATCGAAGGTCAATATAATACAGCCTTGCGTTTTCCAAATCCCATTAAATGCTAATGAAAGTCATTTTATTTCTAAACTGACTTTTTCATTCCAATGGAAAAATTTAGAAGATAATTTATTACGTGGAGATCTGTGTTTAAATACCCTACCAGTGTCGAGGTTAACTGAGCTAGCAGTGATTTTACCCTCTGTTACTATTTTAATCTAAACAAAAGGGATTTGTAAGCTGACACTTAAATTGAATACATTAGTGAGATACATATATGAAGGGTCTGCTGTTACATAGGATCATTCACAGTCTAATGTGGGTCCTTAGTGATAGATGTTAATATCAGTTTCACACACACATTCTCACAAAATTGCAGATTGCTGTATATGCATGTATGTTTGTGTGTCTCTTCTCAGGGCTACTCCTAGTGAGAAAAAAAACTTAAGTTGAATTTACATGCTAGACATTGGAAGCAAACACAAAATGTATTGTTTTGGACATGTATATTGCTTAGAGAATGCTGAGGAAAGCAAGAAAATAGTTAGAAAAAGAAGATTAGCAGTAGGTCTGAAGAATGTTGTCTGGGCTGAATTTTAGCCTTCTAGGGATTTGACAATGGGAAGGAAAAAAAATTCATTAAATCTACCAAAGTTTTTATGAGATGTCCACAGACCTAGCCCTTATTCTGTGAGGACTGAACATCCTGTTTTTATAGAGCAGTTAAAGTTTAATTTCGATGCTGAAGATAATCTAGAATTTCACATTTTCTCTTTTTGCTAATGGGAGGAGAAATTTTGCAGAGATAAGAATGACAAGGACCATAACACCGAAGTTACCTGAGCTTCAAGATTATCAGCCTTGTGACTTCTGAAAAGAATGATAAGGAAATAGCTTTGAATTTATTAAGAATTCTAATACTTTTCAGAATCACTTTATAAAAGATAAGTGTAATGTTTTGAAATTGTACTGTTTGAGGTTTGTTGGTTTTGGTTTTGGTTTTGGTTTTAGTTTAATTATGTCGAGGGTTGTTTTTTGTGTGTTTTTTTTAAAAAAGTGAAAACTGTTTATTAAGGCAGACACATAATGAAAGGCAGACGTGCTCAAGAGTTAAAGTGGAAAAGAAGGAAGAGTGGGGAAGGGGCAAAAAGAACCCTGGAAAGACAGAGGTGAACCGAAACCGTGCAGCACGCTGTCGGCGGAAAAGGAGGGGAATTCGAGCTAATCACGTAGAAGCGTGTGAGGAAGCTCTGGTGGCGCAGCCCACAAGCAATTGTGCTGCTAATACCAAAGCCACTCCCCTCTGGTGGTTCAAATCCTCAGGGAAAAAAGACAGACAGTCTTGCTTCATGTGACCTACGTACGGCCACTGGAGGGACATCTCTGAGTCAGTTCCAGCCCATCAGCACTGAGCTCCTAAAGTTTCTTAACACCAAATAAATGTCCTTGGGTCCACGACTTAATTGGGAATGGCCAAGCTACTTCTGTCCCACAACACTCAATGGACAACCCCAAAATATTCACTTGTTCTTGATCCCATCTAAAAATTGGGCTAAGAAGTATTTCTCAGTGGCTCTCAATATGCTACCACCAGGAGAACAGACCATAATGGTTCTCATTACAAGATGACCCATGAGAGAAAAAAAGGCAATCTCCTCTTATGGAGTGTACTGCCTCTGAAAACCCACAGCTATGGTTTGATTCTGACTCAGTGGATTCCACAACAACCAACATGCACTGACCTCAGAATCATCTGAGAAGTTGTTAGAAATGAAAATTCTCGGGCCATATTCCCAGCCCACTCAATCAGAAACTAGTGGTAGAAGTCAAGAATATGTACTTAACCAGCCCTCCAGGAAATGCTGAGGCCCTTGAATGGCTGAGAACCTCTGGGTTAGATAGACCGAACTATCCAGTGTAGGCCTTCTCCATGCTAGCCAGAGAGCCTAACTTTGATACACCTTTAGAGAACGAAGATTATTAATAATGAGTTGATTGTTGTCATTTGCTGTTATGTTTTTCTAAAGGAACTATTAAAAAGTTTGCAACCAAGGGAGCTGATTTAAGGCACTAAACCAGATATACATAGATATAAACAATATTTCTTTCTGAAAGGAAAATGAGGCCATTTCATTTGATACACAAGTGTTAGGATTATTTCTCAAATTTCAGATATCTCGCACTAAACAAGTGCAGGACGAGTTTGACTAAACACAGAAGGAAGAATTCCACAGCAAGGAAGTTAGAAGAGCAGGCTCTGGGGGGAGACAATGGGATTCAAACTCGGGCCCTCCTGCTTCTTAAGTAGGTGACCTTTGGCAGATTGCTTACTTATTTTAAGTCTGTTTCAAAATCTTTAAAATGTGGGTCAGCCTGGTTCACTTAACCTGTGAGAGAAAAATGTTGAGCGTAGTGCCCAATTTAGAAACATCACTTGTTTGTGAATAGTGGCTATCACTATATTTAATGTTAAAAGAAAAGGACATACAAACAATTGGTCAACTGGCTAACATGGAAGGAGATGTCTCCAGTTAAATCCATTTAATTTTTTTACAAATTTTAATGTTAAAGATTTTTTTTAAAAACAGCTATTATAATTCATCAGAGCTGGTCATTGAAAAACTTCATCATTTGATGCTAAACTTTAAAATTCATCATTTGTTTGGTTTAAAAAAAATCACTGATCTTACCTGCTATTCAAAACACAGCTTGACATTATAAAAATTAACAGCAACTTTTTTGTTAAATTCCCATATGAAGTGGGGGGAAAGTTTTCATTAGGTTTGGGGTCCACTAACAAATGAGGTACCATCTCTTAGCACTAACTGATTAGCCTGACTTTCTGGCATTGATAAATAAAATATGTATTTATAAACTATTCTGAACACTTTGTACTTTTCTGTTAACCTCAGTAATATTTCCTTTGTCCTGATTACTACTGTAGTGTTGTGTAAACCACAGGAAACTAGAATCCCTATTTGACCTTGATTTCTATTTCTTACTATCTTTTCTTAGAAAACCACTATCCCCGTCCCAAACCCCACAGAGGCAGCTTTTTATGTCTCGATCCCTGTACACCCAAAGCTGTCTTATTTGACACTCATTTATTATTTGCTCAGTGGAACCAAACAGTCAAATGACTTGATCATTGTCATTTGTCGTTATGTCCCATTGAGTGGGAACCAGCTCATGGCTGACCCTCCAGCAGGCTTTCAGAGGCACTGAGTCGCCTGGGAAGAGATTACCTGTGTTTCTCCCACTGAGCAGCTGGAGGATTAGAACCTCATGCCTTTGGGTTGGCAGTGCAATTCCTCACCCCCTAAGCCACTTGAGGCTGAACTAAAAGTGTCCAAAGAAACATTCCCAATATGAAATGTGTTTGTTCCTGCCAGAGCCTGGGGAGAGCTGGCTTTAGAATTGTCATCCTAACAGTACTTTTGATCAGGGATAATCTCTAAATTGAGATCTAGTCACAGGGGAGTCTTTACCTCCAAAATGGCTTTTAAGAAAAAAAAAATGTCTGCAGAAGCAAATGCATGTCTGAAAGTCGGCTGAGCTGAAAAAAAAAAATCATGAAGAAAATTGGTGTGTTTGAAGTCTGAGATGTCATTTCCCCCAAATGCAGAGGCTCGTGATTCTTCCTGGTAGAGTATTATTAGATAATTGCATCTAATTTAGCGTTACAGCTATGTGACGTCTTGTCGCAGTCTTGCATGCCCACAGGTACTTTTTAAAACTTTGCATCCGAAAAGTACCTTTTCTTCCCTTCTCCCACATTGCCTTCCCATACCTCTGTCCAAGCACCAGCAAATGCAAGCCTGCGGATTTCCACAGCCCAGTAGACGAGATGCCTCTTTTATTGCGTGTTGTGGCAGGAGGGGAGGATTAAATTACGGTGGCCATCAGGAAAGACAAGCACTCTGCCATACATTATCATTATCACTGACTCCTTGGGTGAAAGAAAATGCAGTAAATCCTTCAAGTACAAAGCAATAAAGACTGCTGGCTTTTACCATCTTGACTGCCAGCGCCACTAACAGGCAGTGACAGCAATGTGGCACCCTTAGATGTTGCTTGTATCTTTTCTGACAGTAGGCACATAAACCTGCCAGTGACATGACATTAGATCACATGACTCTTCAGATTTCATTCTGCCTTCCAGGGCTGCTTTCTTTTCCAAGCATACAAGTGAGTTAGCATGACTTGCATCTTTAAAAAAACAGATCCTTTATAAAAATGCAGAACAGTACTAATGTGAACATATTCCTCAGTGCCTACCTTTTGTAAATTTTTTATTATTATTTTTGTCTAGTTATCTACGTGGATAAAGAAAACAACCAAGCCAAGAGAGAAGTCTTAAAAGCTATATTACAAAAGCAGGAGATGCCTAATAGAAGGTACATTTTAAATTACTTGATGAATAAAGTAGATCTTATGTATGAAGTGGATCTTTCTCTATTGTAACATACTGTGGTGAAAAATCACAAGGTGAGAGGTGAGGGGTCAGAACACCTGGATTTTCTGACTCGCTCTGACCTTAAGTGATTTATGACCTTCGTAGGTGTCTTAGGCCCTGGAAATATGGTGGCCCCGCCCCACAGGACTATGTGAGCATCCTACAGTGCTTTATAAACCAAAAGCAGAAACATTGTATGTAAGTAGCACAGTGCCATTCAAGTGTAACTGTATAAAGAGTGTGTAAAAGGAGTGTCCCCTGATAGACAATGAAGGAATGTGTGAAACACAGTGTATTTGAGTGAAACATTAATGCAAACCGATATAAGATTTTTAAAATTGTTGTTGTTGTTATGTGCCATCGAGTCGCCTGCGACTCATAGC